ATGAAGTACTCTGATTTTCATAAAGCATAAACAAAACCGGTCTTTTCTGGCCGTGATTTTGGGGATGTCACATTTCCACTTGAAGATTCTCCAGTGACTTTCTCTTTTCCTTTATCATCATTCTTTTTGTGTTCTTCGAGAGTCTGTCAAATAACACCGGTAAGTTTACCTAAAAGTTGCTCCTCACGAGGAGATACTGGAGTATTCACTTCCTCGGGTTGAGGATCTCCACCAACATCAGGGGTATGGTTACTTACTTGTTCAGCCATCGATCTGAAATACAGAGTAAGATAGTATTTTAGAATATTAGGGTTTACTATTACCTAATACTTTTACTTATATATTTCCTATGGTTTGTATCCCTATACTTACAATGATTAAGTTCATATATTAAACTTCCTATAGTTTAAGTCTAAATACAAATCCGTGGAATTTAGTTCGCTTAAACTACTGCTCTGATACCGTAACTGAAAGACCCCAACTTTCATATTTTTGAAAGATCCAAACTTTCGTACTTCACAATATCATTACTCCAAAACATGCTATTTGTATATTTATAAAAGCAATATTTTACATTGATAAAAAGGGAATTACAAACTATTGGATACAAACCTTCTATTACAAAGTGTTATATATATATATATATATATATATATATATATATTACATAACTACCCGGGATATTGTAATTTATACAAACATAAAAAGTAGTACAAAAGTACTATTACAAACTATTCTACATCTTTCAATAGTATGTAAACATACTAGTTACTTATCACCTGCAATTGTTAAACATTGATAGGGTAAGCGGTGACGCTTAGTGAGTTCAAAAATAGATACAATATAATGTTATGCCATATATATACTTCAATGTGGAAAAAGCAAAGAGGAACAACAAGATGTATGTGAGATCATGTGACAAGCGTTCATATCAATCAAAGATATTATTCAAAGATATTCTTTTCAATTCTTGATATACATCAATAAAGCTTTGGCCCAAATGGCATAGAAGACATGCAATTTCTGATTAACATCTTGTTAGATTTCAGGCTTATAGTCCTGTCTAACCATTTGCCAATGCCATAGAATAGAAGTCATTCTCTTACGAGACATGCTCTACATGGCCAGAGGCTACGTACCAGTACCAATGTGAATCTAAGTCCTTTCACTGATCACATGGTCAAAGGTATTACAATTGCTATAAACATAGCGAATAACACGAGAAAATAACTCAGAATAATAATACTGAAAAGCACATAGCACATATAACACATAACACATAACACATAACATAGAATTGTTCCTATATATTGAACTCACCTTAAGTTAACCGGGGGTTAAAATAGTAATTTGGATAACACTTCGGCTTTAAATATGTCTTTCTATGTTGAAAACCGGGAGCTTAATTGAAAACCGGGCTCTGCGAAGGTAGGGCTTCAAAACCGAAAAGATAAAATTTCCGGGCTTCTCGGGGGTCTCGGGACGTGTTTCGGGTGCTAAAATTGATATCGGGGCTTCGGGGAAAGTCAAAATGAAGAAAATATGGAAAGAGGGGCTAAAAGTGGCAAATTTACAAAGTTAGTCGGAAGGTCTCGCAGCCCCCCTTTATATAGGGCTGAGGTTCGGATTTGGCTAAGCAGCGAAGGGCTCGGTGGCAGCAGCAGCGAGGGGCAGGTGGCGAGAAGGGGAGGCTCGGATGCGAGGGTTGGACCAGCCGGCACGCATGCGAGGTTCGGTCAGAGAGGTTCGGATACGAGGCTGGTAGGTGAGACGTGTCTCGCTCCTGCTGGACCTCGGCTTCGGCGAATCAGAAGGGAACATGCGTCGGTCTCGAGAAGCAAGCAGCGAAGCAGCTCGGTTTGGGCCACGTCTCCGGTGACGCACCTGCTTTGTGCGAGGTGACGTGGCCGGTACTATTCATGCGAAATTCTTCGATTTTCGGGCCCCGAACTTCTAAAATCCATAACTTTCGCATACGAGCTCCGTTTTTGATGTTCTTTATATGCACGCGTAGATAAAATTACGCTCTACAACTTTCGTTTAGACTTCGTCGGCTAATTTTGATTTTTATTTTTAATATTATTATTTTTAACAGACCGGGTTAGGAAAATCCGTTAAAAATTCATAACTTCTTCATCCGACATCCGTTTTCGTCAGACTTTTTACCGTTGTACTACATATGATGAGACCTTCGATTCTCGTTTAGGATGTATCGGTAAAATATCGCTCGATCTAAAATTCGAGTTTTTAGTTATCTACTGCTAAGTTGAAACTTCAAAAAATCATAACTTCCTCATACGAAATCAGATTTTGGCGTTCTTTTTATCGAATTTCTCAGTTTAACGAATACTACGACTTTCATTTAGATTTCTAAGGCTAAAAAAATTATTTTATCAAAAACTCACTTTTTTCATCATTCGGTGCCGTGCCGGTTTTGTCGCGGATCTTCGGTTGGTCATAACTTCTTCGTTATAACTCGGATTTTGACGAGATTTTCGCATACAAGTTTCTAACAAGATTCTCTACAACATCAAATAATAAAATCTTACTTATTTAAAATTCATATTTTCGCTAAATTTTACTATTTGGCTTTTAATTGAAATCTCATAAGACTTCCAATATTTTCTGAGTGATTCTAAACATAGTTTTACTTTATTTCTAGTAAAAACCATCTGTTAGAACTCAACACTCAATTTTACATAATATTTCACAATTTTATTCATTATAAAACACGATTTCAAAACGTGTATGCTGCACTGGATGTCATTTGATTATTGCTAAATTACATAATCTTTTTAAATTACATAATCTTTTTAAATCTGTAGTTTAGTTGTCTCTTCTTAAACATAAATTTGATACTATTCTTCCTTTTGAAGATTAGGATATGTATTAACTTTAAATTCATTATTTTAATTGCTTAAGTTTATTAGCTTTCTAAATTATTTAAAAAAGAGAAAACAATTATAAGAATTTGTTAAAATTTTAATTTACCCAAAGATTATGTAGGGTAAATTACTTAATGGAATAGTTGAAATATAATTGTAAAAAATATTAGCATGTAACTATTATTCGTATGTTTCTTAGTAAATACTTTTATAGAAATAGAAGTATGCCTGCATACTAAGGAGACTTCTACTCATCTTACACTAGTTTGATCCATGCACCAAAATCAATATGTGTAAGCATGTATTTATATAATATAATTCTGATCGCCTTTGTCAAATGTTTCCTGGATGGGCATCTTGGATCTAATGTAAGTGAACTGTATAGTGTTTACTACCTTAATTTTTTTTTACCAATAATAGCATTGCACAATGCTATTATTCTGTGGGATTTGGAATCCAGTTCCATTCCATTTTGTTGAAAATGAATGTAGAACTGAATTCCGTTGGAATAAAAAAACTCCACGACTGAAGGAATTCGACTTTCCTTCCACAAAGTTATGGAATTGAATTCCAATCCTTGTTTATTTGTACAAATGACTGAAATACCCTTTTTAAACCCCCACCATATTGCAATTTTATTTTATTTTTTGATATTTTATAGAATATAAAATTCAGAAAAGTTGATACTTATATCAACATTTTCTGTAAATGAGTTTTATATCTTATAATAGTTTTTGTATTTTTGCAAAAAGGAATTACCACTATTAACAAATTTAAATCTTAATTAAGCTTCCGACAATTATATTTGTTGTGAAATTTCCATGTGTTTTTAGTAATTATAGACAACTTGAAGACCATGTTCTCTGTTATGTTAATATTTTGTAATTTCCAACCAAAAAATATTTCCATTTATGTTTCTTTAAATTTAGGCGGTAAATGCAATAAATAGCAATGTATTTTGAATTTACATATTTTTTCAGTTTTGTGCAAATTGTTTTGAATTTTATTACCAAAAACCAAAGTACATTGCCATTAGATACAATTTCCATTTTTAGATGGTAAATGCACTAAATAATAATGATACATTTTCCATTTTTAGATGGTAAACGCACTAAATAGCAATGTACTTTGAATTTACACATTTTCCTTTTTTCCTTTTGCAATTTATTTAATTATTTACCAAAACACGAATTAAATTGCTATTTGTTACGTTCTTTTTTTTTTTTTTTTTTTTTATAAATATATTTAGATGGTAAATACACTAAATAGAAATTTACTTCTCATTTAAACCTTTTTGTTTATATTTCTTTTGTTCAATTTCTTTTTATTTTTTACCCAAAACCATACTATCTTTCCATTGGGTTCGTGTGAGGCACACATAAAGGTTGTCCGATAGATTTATGTGTGTGGAACCGAAACATGAAGGGTTGAGGGTTCATCCAAATGCGTTTCATTGGGCTGATGTTAGGTGGGTTTTTAGCGTATCTTAATACAAAATATTAAAATAGGGCAATGAATTTCATTTTAGTGTTTAGCTTTCATTAATTTGGATCGTTTTTTGGGAAATGGCAATATCCTTTATTTTTATTATTTTAAGCATCAAAATTGTAAAAGAGCGAACTGTAGAGAATAGCAACATACTTAATTATGACTACCAGTTAAGACAATGTACTATACTTGCACACAAAAGCAACACCTTCCAACCCCGCAACGTGGGGAACACTTCTAGTTAATATTAACGCCCAGTTCCCGAGTTTAACAAAAAAAAACAAAAAAATAAAAGAAAAGAAAGTCATGAAAAAAAAGAAAAGAAAAAAATGAAAACAAAATTTTCTTTTGTGTTTTAGAGTTGAAGAGAAATGAAAAGAAAATTAATCGTTTTATTTTTTATTCTCAAATCCTCTAAATCAATAATGATAATTTCATTTCCTTTGTTTTCTTCCTTTATTGAAAAAGTAGTAAAAATTTTTTTTTTTTTTTTTTTTTTTTTTTTTTTTTTTTTTTTTTAGAGAAAGAGAAGGGATTTTAATTTTCACTTGAAAGTGTGCCCTAGGCTAGTAGGCTGTCCCGCTCTTGTCTCTTTTTGTTGACCACTTCGTCTACGGCTTTCACTTCATGAGTTCAGCATCGCCATCCAGCCGGCACTCGGCAGCTATCCACAGACCGACAAGCACCGGTACATAACTAACCACACCACGCCACGCCACCACACCACCAAACCATCGCCACCATATCCTGCGAGAATCCAGCAGGCAGCATCGCCGCCTGCAGGAGGTATGTAATTTTTGTTTGTTTTTGTTTGTTTGTACTCCTTGAAACTCTCGTCATCTACCATTCCCGGCTAGAATTAGTTAGCAATTTCTGTGGCAATCTCCTGAAATTTCTTTGTGTTTGTTTGTAGAAGGTTATTTGTGTTTATTCTGTAGCAATTTGTAGTAGCCTAACCTGAGTTATTCCATTTCTACTATTTGCATAACTTGAGTTTTTTCAGTAGCAATTTCCAATACATAACTTGATTTTTCATTAGCAATTTCCAGTAACTTAACCTGAGTCTTGATGGACTTCGAGTTATTTCTTTTGTCAATAGCAATTTAAAACACACCAAAAAACTGCACCAAAGTCATGTGGTTTAAAACCGCACCAGAGTTACGCTGTTTGAAACCGAATAAAACTCCACCAAATGGAAAGTATATTTTTCATTCAAATTTTGTTCTCTGAAGATGATTTTTTTGTTAAATAATTAAATTCAGTTGTGGGGTCGAAGAACATGCGTGCTTGCCATTTCACCTTGTCTAAGTTTTTGTAAGTTAATATATATATCTTTTTAGTTTATACTTATTTATCACCAAATTTAACATTACACTTATTTACTGTAGAAATTTTGGAGCTGTAACTACTGTACAACGATCATTAAACCTCCGGTTTTCAGTCAAGTGTTGTTCCCAAAAGGTTCACATGGAAAGTAATGGAGAAATTAAAGCAAGAGGTGCTCTTATTGTTCTAGAAGGTTTGGATCGAAGTGGGAAGACCTCACAGTCTGCAAGGCTACTTTCATACTTGAATAGTCTTGGATATCCTGTAGAATCATGGCGCTTTCCAGATAGAGATACTGCTGTGGGGAAAATGATTTCTTCTTATCTTACCAATCAATCTCAATTGGATGATCACACAATTCATCTACTCTTCAGTGCAAATCGTTGGGAGAAAAGGTTGAATTTGGCAATTTGCTTTCATGGTGGATTTGAAACGATTCTTGATTTAATCGTTATTCTTATACAGATCATTAATGGAGGCTAAGCTTAAAAGTGGGATTTCCCTGATTGTTGACCGGTATTCTTATTCAGGTGTGGCTTTCTCATCTGCTAAAGGTCTTGATATCGAATGGTGTAAGGTCATATTCATAGGCTTAAATGCTTAATCTTAGAGTAAATTACGGAAATCGTCCCTATGGTTTTGTCAAAGTTGCACGTTTGGTCCCTAACTTTTTTATTGCACTCGGATCGTCCCTTTGGTTTGATTTTGTTGCGTTTTTCGTCCCTTACGTACGTAAAGTTAGGGACCAAACATGCAATTTTGACCAAACCATAGGGACGAAAAACTCAACAAAATCAAACCATCCGAGTGCAAAAAAAACGTTAGGGGACCAAACATGCAATTTTTACCAAACCATAGGGATGATTTCGGTAATTTACTCATTATCTTATTTTCCAAGTTGCTAGTGCTTTTTGAAACACACTGTTGTTGTGGTGGTGGTGGTGCAGGCTCCTGAGGTGGGACTGTTGGCACCTGATCTGGTCATGTACCTCAACATACCTCCAGAAGTATTTTTTTTTTTTTTTTTTTTTTTTTTTAATTAGTTTTTGTAATTTTAGATGGTTGTTTGTTTGGCAATATGGTTATGGTATGTTGGAGTTTTGTAGAAAGCTGCTGAAAGAGGTGGTTATGGAGGTGAGAGATATGAGCAGCTGGAGTTTCAGAAGAATGTTGCCAAGTATTATGAGATGCTTACTGATCCATCATGGAAGGTAACAAAACAAAATAAGTTGTTTTAAAATTAAAGCTTTTGTTGTTTTACATTTGATTTTGATGATTCCATAACAGATAATCAATGCATGCCTCCCTTTGGAAGATGTTGAGAAACAGATGAAGGAGATTGTTTTGGATTGTGTAGTCTCTTGCAAAAAAGGGAAACCACTTTCTCACCTCTGGTTGTCGTAGTAATGATTTGATTTATGCCATGGGAACGTGTTGAATAATCATATTAATCTTGTCATGTTTTAAATTTTAATTGATTCCAAAGTTATTGGTTTCAACTTTGAAGCTATTGTATGTATATTTGTACATGTATATTGAAGGAGCCCATGCTCACACCTACTGATATTTACTTTTTCAATTAAATAAGGGTCCATATTTACTTTTTCGGGTCCTATTCCATTACCTTTCAATTAAATAAGGGCCCATATTTACTTTTTCAGATGTGTCAAGATGGGTACATCTCTCACTGATCTATACTCGGTATATATTTCTTACTTTATACTTGTTTAACATCAAGTACTTAAGCTTAATAAAATGGGTTATGATATAGTGAGTTACATCAGGCAGGTTGCGTAAAAAATGTCAAAGAATGGTGGTAGAAAAAAATTTAAAAAATTAAAGGCTTGAGTGCGGCTTACTCATGCTTCTTTTGTTGTTGGAAAAGGAATTCAAAATTTTGTACATGGTATCAAAACACGTGTTTAGATGGGACAACCTCAATCTCTGGGATCTTATCAAATCAAAACCACGGATGAGTAATCCTTGTTTATTTTTCTGTTAGGTAAATGTATATAGCTAAAATTTCAAATGAAAATCATTAAAAGTTAAGGACCCAAGAACCATTTACATTTATTTATTTATTTATTTTTTGTCTATTCCAAGTTTTTCGATTTTTTTTTTCCAGAAACATATCACCAACCATTCGGATCAAGTAAACACATCTCGAATATTTTTGCAAGAAAATCTCAAACTCTTTTAACAACTCTACAACCTATTTCCGCCGTCACTACCACTGACAGCCTCCTGCCACCGCCGCCGTTACCTCCCTCCACCACCTGCTTCTCAACTATGGCTTTAGACCACCAAAAAAACTCATCAAACGCCTTCGGCCTCTCAAATCTGAAGTTATCTAGCGACTTCACCTTCTCAGGTCTAGATCTACGATCCAAAGAACCACCAGATATGTAACTATTGCTGCCAGCTACCACCATCACTATCGAACTCCAACTATCATCAACGAAACACCAGATCTGACCTTGTACACCTTCAGATCTATGATTTGTGCTTCTTCTCCAAACTACCGACATTTAGATATGATGAACCACAAGAAAACTCTTTGATCCGCTTTACTAGAATAAGAGATGATGGAGCATGAAGCTCTTTGTCGCCTCCAGATGTCCAATAACCTCCATATCTACTTCATTCTTCAGATCTACTTCATTCTGTCTATTAAGTTGTGATATTTGTGTTTAACTATGAATTAAATGCATTAAGCTGTAAATTTTCTGTTTAAATTGTGTATTGTCTATATTAAGTTGTTAATTTTGTATATTAAACTGTGCATTGATTGCATTAAGCTATGCATATTGTACACTAACCTATGAATTTTGACTACAGTAAGAGTTTTAAGTTGATAATATATTTGTAAATGCATATTTTTAGTGTATTAAAGTATGACTTTGTTGTATTAAACTATTATTTTTGTGTTTTAAACTGAGAATTGATTGCATTAAGATGTAAATTTTCTGTTTAAACTATAAATTGCACATATAATGTGTGAATTCTTTGTATTAAACTGTGAATTGATCGCATTAAGTGCTGAATTTTGTGCATTAACCTGTGAAATTGACAGTATTAAGAGTTTTTAGTTGATAATTGTAACATATACGTTTTAAAATCATGTTTTGTAATGAATAAAATTGCGAAATATTATGTAAAATTGAGTGTTGAGTTCTAATAGATGGTTTTTACTAGAAATGAAGTAAAACTATATTTAGAATCACTCAGAAAATATTGGAAGTCTTATAAGATTCCAACTAAAAGCCAAATAGTAAAATTTAGTGAAAATATAAAATTTTAAATAAGTACAATTTTATTATTTTATGTTGTATAGAATCTCGTTAGAAATTTGTAGGCGAAAACCTCGTCAAAATCCGAGTTATAAGGAAGAAGTTATGACCAACCGAAGATCCGCGACAAAACCGGCACGGTGCCGAATGACGTAAAAAGTGAGTTTTTGATAAACTACTTTTTACCCTTAGTAATCTAAATGAAATTCGTAGTATTCGTTAAACAGAGAAATTCGATAAAAAGAACGCCAAAATCTGACTTCGTATGAGGAAGTTATGATTTTTCGAAGTTTCAACTTAGCAGTAGACAGCTAAAAACTCGAATTTTAGATCGAGCGATATTTTACAGAGACATCCTAAACGAGAATCGAAGGTCTCTTCATATGTAGTATAACGGTAAAAAGTCTGACGAAAACGGATGTCGGATGAAGAAGTTATGAATTTTTAACGGATTTTCCTGTCCCGGTCTGTTAAAAATAATAATATTAAAATTAAAGTAAAAACTAGCCGACGAAGTCTAAACAAAAGTTGTAGAGCGTAATTTTAGCTACGCGTGCATATAAAGAACGTTAAAAATGGAGCTCGTATGCGAAAATTATGGATTTTAGAAGTTCGGGGCACGAAAATCGAAAAATTCCGCATGAATAGTGCCCGGACACGTCACTCGCACGAAGCAGTAGTGTCACCGGAGACGTGGCCGAACCGAGAAGCTTCACGTGTCGCGAGCTGAGTGGACCGAGGTGCGAGCGAATCCGGATCCGACGTGCGCTTCGCATTGCCTTTGCCACCGAGTTGCTTCGCTGCTTGCTTCCGACGCGCGTTCTTCCCTGATTCACCGAAGCAGAGGTCCAGCAGGAGCGAGACACGCCTCGCCTACCAGCCTCACAGCCAAACCTCGCATCCGAGCCTCCCCTCTCGCGCCACCTGCTTCGCTCCGCTGCTGCCACCGAGCTTTGCTGCTTAAACTAGCTCTGAACCTCGGCCCTATATAAAGAGGACCTGCGAACCCTTCCGACTAACTTTGAAAATTTGCCACTTTTAGCCCCTCTTTCCATATTTTCTTCATATTAACTTTCCCCGAAGCCCCGAAATCAATTTTAGCACCCGAAACACGTCCCGAGACCCCCGAGAAGCCCGAAAATTTTATCTTTTCGGTTTTGAAGCCCTACCTTCGCAGAGCCCGGTTTTCAATCAAGCTCCCGGTTTTCAACATTGAAAGGCATATTTAAAGCCGAAGTGTTGTCCAAATTACTATTTTAACCCCCGGTTAACATAAGGTGAGTTCAATATATAGGAACAATTGTATGTTATGTGTTATATGTGCTATGTGCTTTTCAGTATTATTATTCCGAGTTATTTTCTCGTGTTATTTGCTATGTTTATAGCAATTGTAATACCTTTGACCATGTGATCAGTGAAAGGACTTAGATTCACATTGGTACTGGTACGTAGCCTTTGGACATGTAGAGCATGTCTCCGTAAGAGAATGACTTCTATTCTATGGCATTGGCAAATGGTTAGACAGGACTATAAGCCTGAAATCTAACAAGATGTTAATCAGAAATTGCATGTCATCTATACCATTTGGGCCAAAGCTTTATTGATGTATATCAAGAATTGAAAAGAATATCTTTGAATAATGTCTTTGATTGATATGAACGCTTGTCACATGATCTCACATACATCTTGTTGTTCCTCTTTGCTTTGCCACATTGAAGTATATATATATGGCATAACATTATATTGTATATATTTTTGAACTCACTATGCATCACCGCTTACCCTATCAATGTTTAACAATTGCAGGTGATAAATAACTAGTATGTTTACATACTATTGAAAGATGTAGAATAGTTTGTAATAGTACTTTTGTACTACTTTTTATGTTTGTATAAATTACAATATCCTGGGTAGTTATATAATATATATAACACTTTGTAATAGAAGGTTTGTATCCAATAGTTTGTAAATCCTTTATATCAATGTAAAATATTACTTTTATGAATATGCAAATAGCATGTTTTGGAGTAATGATATTCTGAAGTACGAAAGTTTGGGTCTTTAAAAAATACGAAAGTTGGGGTCTTTCAATCATGGTATCAGAGAAGTAGTTTAAGCGAACTAAATTCCACGGATTGGTATTTAGACTTAAACTATAGGAAGTTCAATATATGAACTTAATCACTGTAAGTCTAGGGATACAAACCATAGGAAATATATAAGTAAAAATATTAGGTAATAGTAAACCCTAATATTCTAAAATACTATCTTACTCCGTATTTTAGATCGATGGCTGAACAAGTAAGTAGCCATATCCCTGATGTTGGGAGAGATCCTCAACCCGAGGAAGTGAATACTCCAGTATCTCCCTGTGAGGAGCAACTTCTAGGTAAACTTACTGGTGTTATTCGACAAACTCTTGAAGAACACAAAAAGAATGATGATAAAGGAAAAGAGAAAGTCACTGGAGAATCTTCAAGCAGAAAGTTGAAGCATCCCTCGTTCAAAGATTTCAAGAGTAGTGGTGCTACGGAGTTTTCTGGTGTCCTTAATCCTATATTTGTTCTAACTTGGATTCAGAACACCGAGAAAGTATTTCGTGTTTCTCATGTGGATGATGAAGACAAGGCTATTTTGCTTTTGCAATGCTCATTAGAGAAGCTTTAGTCTAGTGGGAAGCAACATATGAAGCTCTCGATGGATGTGACCAGGAGAACTTATCCTGGGAGTTGTTCAAGACTCGTGTGCTAGAGAAGTATTGTCCTCTGGATATGAGGAGAAGATTGGAGAAGGAATTCCTCAAGCTTAAACAAGGAGGAACGACTGTGAATGAGTATGAAACTCAATTTAATCAAAGATCAAGGTTTTCTACGAAGTATATTCCAACTGAAGACGAGAAAATTCAGTTATTCATGGAGGGACTACGACACGAAATTCATGATTTCGTTGTCAACCGGGATGTTCTGTCATTCGATAAAGCTGTTGAGTATGCTCGAAGACGTGAGCCGACTTAGAAATACGTGGTGCCACTCTTACTATTCCAAAGCATCCACGTACTGAAAGAACTACTCCTGCTTCCACTATTCCACCAGCTTAATCTATTCGAACTGATCCTAGCAAGCAAGCACAATCTCAGAGTGTTTTTCGTGGCCATGGTAGGTCACAATCTTTTTCTATTTAATCACCGTCATGTCGCGTTTGTGGAAGGAATCATCTGGGTCAATGCGAAATAGACAAGGAATCCATTGTCTGTTATGGGTGTGGAGAAACAGGTCATATCAAGCCAGCTTGCCCAAGGAAGGATGTGACTTGTTATGCATGTGGTATTACTGGCCACAAGAAGCGT